TCACCCTTATTGCCCCCCCCCCTCCCCACCCATGTAGAAGCCTGGGATGGATGTGGCAGACAGCTACGTGACGTTTGTGCGCCACTCTCAGGACATTCTGCGAGATAAGGTCAATGAGGAGATGTACATAGAAAGGTTATTTGACGTAAGTAAGATGCCATGGAGGAAGTCCTTCAAAATGTGACCGAACGACAGAACAGAGGGATAAGTCACATTTTGATGCTCGCTGATCCCTTTAATATGGACGCCTCCCCCCCCCCCCCCCCCCAAAATGGGCAGCCCCCCCCCCCCCCCCCCCCCCCCCCCCCCTGTCTTTTCCCTGTCCTATCTGAAGCTGTACTGCTGAGAAACACTGTACTGTGCTCTCCGTGTGGGTGCTGTCCACCAGGGACACGCCTAGGGTGACTGGGTGCAGGGCCATTGTAACGTGGCGATGGGGAATGTCAGAGCGATCGTAAAGATAGAAACATTTGGGGTCTAAGGCCTGTAAGCCCCCCCCCCCCACCTTGTCGCCCACCTGTGTCTGTTAGCAACCAACTCAGCAAAGGTATGAGGGAGGGCTGTCTGAGACAGTGTTCTCTCCTGGCTCCTCTGTTCTTATACATCACTTCCTTCATCGTCATAAGTCAGCTTATCACTGGCTGCTTGGCTTAACATTAAAGCCAAAGGGGAGATACATCAGTGAAGCTATTACGTAATTTTACAACGACGTATTTTGTAATTGTAATTTTACAGAAAAACCACCTTTCGTATTTGGCGGCAAATGTATCGTTCATCTTCATTCCCTCTGCTCCTATTAGTGGGCGAAGCGTTTGAATAGAGAGGGCAGGATGGGGGGGTTTCTTAAAGCAAATCTCCTGCGAAGGAAATGTAAATACCAAGGAGCCTCATCTGCCCAGAGCTTATTGTGATGAGGCTTTAGGGTAGATAAGTAGAGAGAGAGAGAGAGAGGGGGAAAGAGAGAGAGGGAGTGCACTGTCTTAAGTAACGGCCGTCATCGGCTCAGTTATAATCCTTTGTGATGCATGTCCACTAATTATTTAGCGGTTCTGCTGGGTACACCGCTGTCTGTGTGCTGCATTTTGGGGCCCGATTTGGTCCCCTTTTGCCTACGAGGAGCCCCAGAGTGCACATGCCCTAGCCCCTCCCACAGGGGGGTCCAGCCCGCTTGTCCCCTTTCCTGGTCTTTGTCACAGAGGTCTGCATCCTCGCTGTTGACTCCTGTTTTCTCTGCTTCCATACATGACAGCAGAGCTCTGCATGTCCCGCTCGCCCTTCCCTATTGTCTCTGTCCCACTTCCTTCCCCCCACTCATCAATTCCCCTCACCCCCCCACTCATCAATTCCCCTCACCCCCCCACTCAAAGCTGGAAATGGAACTTATCTCTCATGTTACGTTGTTTTGTCACATGATTTCAGGTGGCATGGTTGAGGCTCAGATAATCTTGCTGTGTGCATCCCCTAGCATGGCCCGCCTACTCAGAGTCACCCCCTCCCCCCCCTGCATGCACGGCTGCAACGAGTGCCGTGGCATTTCAGCCTGACAGCCAAAGCCGGCCGGCTGTCCAGCCCAGACTGCTTCGCCCGGGGAGCGGGGGTGTCAGGTGGTGCTCCCAGCCCCGGCCAGTCGCTCCATATGACCAGACTCACAAACACGATTCCATTCTTATTTTTATTTTATTTGGGGATTATTGTAATGTTCCCAGTAATCATTCCAGGTGCTGATTCTCTTCAGACCGGATTTTGTACATATTAAGAAAAGACACCAGATCAGTCAGACCTTTAGCTCATTCGCACACAATCATACACCATGAAAATATTTCCAAAAAAAGCTTAAGAAAACAGCACTTTTCCCTCCTGCTAAATCCCTTTATTCACCAACTTGTTTTCAATTTCATTCACTGGTTTCTTCAAAAGTTCCAGATTGATGTAAAATAATTTACCTGTGGAAAAGTCTACTACTGCAAAATGTATGGATGAAGTGTTTTTCTGTTTAACAGGTGCTTTTGGGAAATTCCGCGGGGGCTGTTTGCTGCCCTCCATTGGCGGCGCGTCCGTTTGCTTCTGAAAGGCAACTAATTTGGCCTGAGAATCTGTGAAGGAATGACGAACGATCCAGCAAAAGTCCCGCGACCCCCCGTCCCCCTCCCGTTCGCCCTCCCCATTCATTATGTGCGCTGGCCTCGCCCCCAGTCTTTGAAGATTATAAGATGCGTTTGTAATTCACTGTCGTTTTAACCGGTGAATTCTAATCCTGCCCAGTGAAACTTGGAAATGGGGCACGATGCTTATCGCTTTGTGGTGCCCCGTAATGCCGCACGTAGCCGTGAGTGGATTCTTCCGGTAGAGGTCAGTGGAAAACAGGAAACAGAAATGGTCTGTGTTTCGAGGAGGTCAGGCCGAGGCTATCACATCTCCGGATCATGTGCTGAATGTAAGAAGATTACATTTACATTCTGTATATTTAAATATGTCTCCTCTCTGCTGGAAACAAAATTACTAGCCTCTGTTGACGTCAAAGCCTCGCTAGCAGACAAGTCGATTAATATTAATGAGACATATTTAAAAATAATAATCATATAATAATTATTGTTCCATATCATAGACTGAAAGAGTGTGTCAAAAAGAGCACTGGTTTAAAGATCTTATGCTTCAGTAGAGCATGTGTCAGTGAACCTGCAGCCATGAGCTGATATGCATAATTAGAAAGGCGGTATAAGGTGGAGTGACTTCGAAAAGCCTTACTGCAGGGAACCCACATTCACTACGTCTGTCTTGGGCAGCTAACGGCTAATGGCTAACATCACAGGACTGACCTCTGACCACAAATGGCTTTTGTCACGTAGGGCTTCATAGGAGACCAGCTTCACCAGCCTGCAAATTTTGTTCTGTAGGGGGGGCGTGAGCCACTTGATCAGACGGCCGTGTTTACTTGGAAAGAGGAGGGGGTGGGGGGCGGGTTTAAAAAAATTAATTTATCCTCCCCTTTGTCGTTCTGTAAAGTGCTGTCGGGGGGGGGTTAGGATTAAAGCAGCTGTGCTTAAGGCAGCTCATCTGCTTAGTGTGGGGGCCACAGATCAGCCGGCGGAAAGGCAGCCTGTCCGTAGGCGGCTTCCGGGGGGTGCCGTGCCCATGTAAATGGGGCTCTGTGGATTACACACGTCAATTATACCCATAATCTGCCTTCGGGGGATTAAACGCTCATTGATTGATTTGAAGCATTTCCATTGACCTTGGCAGTTATCAGGTTCTAAAAGTCACGGGTGCGATGAAGACGGCCGCCGCTGGATTCTGCCGCGGGACGGGGGCACTTGGTAAATGGGGTCACCCAATAGACCGTCCTGTGGACATGCGACTCCCCAGAACTTTTGGGGCGCGTTACCCCCTCCCACACACACACACACACACACACACACACAGGCATGGAAAAACTTAAGAAAAACTTACATTTTTTGTTTGACTCATTTCTCAATTTATGGGTCTGAGTCTCTGAATAATATATATATTTTTTTTTTGCAAACCCCAGCCTGGTTCTTCTCTGTTTCTCACTGATGAAGGGCTTCTTCCTGGCTTCAGGAGACTGCAGTCCTGCTTCCAGGAGCCTGATACGACCTGTATCACACTTACTGTTTCCCATTCATTTTGAAGGTTACTTGATGTCATCCTCAAGGCAAATTTTCTATTCTTGCACATAAAACACAAAAAAGTGTAACTTATATGGCACAGTCTGCGAAAAAAACTTGAATGGATATGATTTAGACTCATGATTTTTAAATAAAATTTTCCAAAACAAGGGAAAATATGTTTGATTATGATACATTTTGATATTTTACCAGAGTCCGCTCCATTGAATGTTAAAGCTATGTTTATTTCCTATTATATGCGTGCAAACTTCCCAGGCATATCCGGGAATTCTTCAAAAATAAATTAAATTTAATAAATTTTATAAAATTAAAACATAATGCATAGAACGATGATTTTTCTTTAAAAAACAGAACACAGTTTTGCTGTGCAGCGTGCTGATATCCAGTTACTTTCGGTCGTTTCAGTGAATCTCTAGGTGGAAATAAAGCACTAGTAAAAAAAAAATAAAAGCTTTGGCTGCCTAACCCGGAGTCTAGCTGTTCAGTTTAAAAAGGCATGAGTGAAAAACACTGCTCTTTTAACCCCCCCCCCTCCAATGAAAACCACTGGACATTTAAGCCACTTAAATATTATGTGGCATAATTACAGAGAAAGACACATTCTCATCTCGCCTTGGCTCAACTAGCGCCCCCCTCAGGCCAGGGTTAACATAAAAGGCAGAAACTGAGGGGAAAAACGAAAAAACAACAGATCGAGACGAGTAGATTTGGGGGATGTGTCTGGCTGTTAATGCAGTCGGGAGAATCGTGACCGCAGCGTCGCGTCGGGGGGGCTGGGGACGTGCCCCCTCCCTCACTGGCGGGCGACGCACGGTGGCATTTGTTTGATTAACTTGTCTCACAAAAGTGGCAGCTGTCGTGGGGGCATGTGGAAGGGGCGGCTCTGTGCGGCTCCGCCTTTGTACATCTGTCAGGGGGCGCAGGAAGAAAGGGTGAAAGGAAACAAATTGGTCCCAAAAGGCATGCCATTCACCTCGCGAGCCCCCCCATTCACCCGGCGAGCCCCCCCTCATTCACACGCACAGTGTGACTCTCAAGTGCTTGCTGGCTTATTTCATTTTGCTTGCTCTATAGCCTCAGCCCACAAGTGTTTTATGTCTTATTCGGCGCCTCAGTTCGCCTGTAAGCGTTTCATTGTGCGCAGAATAGCTCACTTTGCCCAGCAGTGGACCTGCTTTCTCTATGCTTTTCCCCTCATTGTGTGTTTATTCAATGACATGGTTCAGGACATAATTCCTGTCATTGAGTTTCTTACTACAAGTTTTTTTATTTTTTTGGGCCAGGGTGGTGGTGTGTGTTTTTATAAAGTCGTCTTTATTTGGACAGTGCGACGGGCAGGTTCGGGTGCTTCTAAGGCGTCCCACAAAATAAGGGAAATACACTTTAGGTGGATTAATTCCCATGTTTCTTATTTTTATGTGAATTTGTGTTTGATGCCAAAAAATGGAAACATTAACCTCAAATTAGAAAACAGCTTAGGTGACAGTCTTGGCTCTGCTGATAGGAAGCATTTTTTGCTAATTGACAGCTGATCTGTGCCAGAATTCTCCTTGTGGAGACTCTGCGGTCAGAGCGGCTTGTGGCCTCGGGGCCGGACGGCTTCAAGACTTTACTTCAAGACATCTATTCAGAAATCCCTTGTTATTAGAAAGAAATTGGGGGTTGTGGGGGGACAAACCAGCAGCGCGTAGCGTGGGAGGTGCAGGCGAGGGAGACTGATTCCCTGTAAAAGGATTCCCTGTCAGGCTGCTCCTCCGAGGGACACAGAAAGCCCGAGGACTCGGGGCACCGGTGTGAGTTACTATGGTAATTGAGTTTCATCATCAATAGAGTTCCCCTCATGGGCAATAAAGCGCAAAATAACAGGCAAACAGCACCAGTGAAAAGCAAACAGGTAGGATTACTGCCTTCCTTTGTCCCCAGTGTATAATGTCTTGTACTCAGATTTAAAGACTTCTCAACCCTCAGGTCCTCCCTGAGGACGCCCACGGGGGCCTGATCTGGTCCCGCCGTGAGGAGCGGGGGCCAATTTGGCAGCTAAACAGTGCGGCGAGCACTCAGAGGCCACGGAGCAGAGTGGAGCGGAGGAAAGACCCTTCAGAGGGCGGGGCGAAAAACACATCGACACCCCGAGAGTTGTAGAGAAAGGTAGTAAAGTGCCTTCGATCCCGGGCCCCAAATGGGACAACTCTGTTAATGGATTTGGAGGATTGGAGGGAGAGCGAGAGAGAGACACAGAGGAAGAGAAAATAAAGGTATTGCATCCCTGGAAGCCTGCCACGCCGGCCTGCCTTACAGAAGCTGCCACTTTGCATCTCCATCAGCCTGGACCACAATCACCATCGCATGCCTCCTGCTAATTGCAGACACAGCTGGGGCCCAGCAGGACTCCCTCGCAGAGTCCCGGGCCCGAGTAGCCGGCCTCAATCTGTTGTGTAGCTTGCGTGAAGGCAAGACACACACACACACACACACACACACACACACACTGAAAACCACCAGCAAGGGCAGAAAGAGGCAGAGTCACAGGTTGCTTGTAATCCCCCTGGCCCCCCCGCTGAGGATTCCCACCCCCTTTCTCCGGACATTCCCGGTTTGGTCTCTGACAGGCACAAAGGCCGCGCTGACCCTGCCCCACCATCCCTGGGCTCTCAGAGGGCAGCTACAGCCCTTCAGGTGTATAAGCCGGTGGGAGGGGGTGGGGCATGTGCAGGCCTGGGGGGGATGGAGTTGCACTGAATTCTGTTTGTTGCCCCCCTACCAGGCGCTATGGCTTCTTGTAACATGTCGGATATGAGTGCGAATGCCGGGTTCGAGGTGATGCGTGCACGCGTGTGTGTCTGTTTGGGGGCGGGGGCAATAGGTCACACAGCCCCCCAGCCCCCCCTACATGGGGTGGGGGGGGGGCTGCAGATGTTCATGTGTGTGCGTGTAACAACACCGCAGACCCCCTCCGCCCCGCCACCACGACCCCGCTAATATCAGGCCTCGTTATGCCGCAGAATTATTCACGCTTCTGAATTGCATTATATATTCAGAGTAATGCTACAGCCGTTTGGCTGACTGCGACGGCTGTGTGGTCGCTCAGCCCTCAGCCGAACTGCAGTTCAGAAAAAACACAGAGAACAGAGACGGTGCAAGTGGCACAAGCATGAAGTTACCGTGTGGCGGGGTTACCGTGGCGGGGTTACCGTGCCGGGGTTACCGTGGCGGGGTTACGGCGTGCCGGGGTTACCGTGGTGGGGTTACGGCGTGCCGGGGTTACCGTGTCGCGGGCTGTACGTGTCCTCGCCTCTCGGCTGTCAGCAGCACCGTAATCGGTCCCCAGGAGCAAATCGATCCCGCTTCCCGCAGGCTGTGTTTCTGCAGACGTGCGGAAACAGGACTTATACGTTACACTCATCTCAGGGGACACTGGGATTATTATGCCAGTCAGAAACGTAACGTCATCCATCAGAACCGAATCTATGCATTTATTTTGTTTTCTTTTTCTGCACGTGGGGCCCTGAGAGGGTGAATGTGTCACTTGATAAATATCAAATAGCAACATAAAGCTCCCACTCTTGGGCCTCAGCCCTTAGATATTTAGGTGAAGGTAGTAGAGGGAGTTAGTGTTAGTTCTTAAATTAAATTAAATTAAATTACATTTTTATACTTATTCTTAAGGTTTGCTAGCATTTATGTTGGTGGTTTCGTGAGCAGGCAGTAGGTGTGTGTGGCGGATTGTGCTGAGCCCAGGAGCCCCCCATCAAAGGTTAACTCTCGGGGGCCTGGAAGAGGTGTGAGGGAGCACAGGCGCTCGAAGGCCTGGCCTCTCGGAGGGGGGTCCGCGCGGCAGTGCCCTGGCTGGATCTCAGCGTGACTGGGGGCACTTTCACAGGCACAGGGTGCCCGGACCCCGGCCTGCTCGCTCGCCTGCTCTCTCTTGCCCCCCCCCCTTGCCATGCTTCGCCCCCGTGCTCGTCCCGTACTGGGCTGTGGAGACTCTGTGCCGCGGGCATCTCTTCCAGTTACGCCATGCCACGGCGGCCTGTTTGACACGAATGGGTGCAAATGAGATCACGAAGGTCACAACTGATTAGGTAGAGCAAAGCCTAGTGCATGATGGGAATTCGCTGGGGAAACTTGGTCGGTATAGACGTGATAATGATCTAGGCATTGACCTAAGGTATCTTTGCATTGGTTTTTCATTTAATTGAATAATTTAATGCAAATCAATTATAAGCTCCTGTGGCTTAAGTGTTCTTGTGAAAAAATGTCACCAGAATTGTCTAAGCAGCTTCCAAAAATGGACCAGGTGGCAACTTATGACACCAAGATGTAGCTAAAAGCTGAAGCTAACCAGGAATGTCCATGCTGCTCAGATTTTTAGGTGGAGATTTGAGTACTTTGAGTATGGCAGATGTACTTTGAGTACTTTGAGTATGGCAGATGTACTTTGAGTACAGCAAAGTACTCTGTGGCACTCTTGAGTACTCCGTTCCGGCAGAGCAACACCATGTGGTAAACAGACCAAAAGGACCTGTCACATTTGCAAGCGTATGCTGGCTGTGGAAGAGGCAGCATGTCTGTTGACTGATCAGATGGTCCGTGTTTCCGTTACACAACTAAAGTTCGCCGGGACACTGCTCAGGCATGACAAACCTCCAGGGCTTCGCAGACATATCTCCAGGTCAAATTACTGAAGAGCCGAGAGTGTTCTACTGGATCAAGTTCTGACTATTATCTGGGCTGCGGAGCATGGCAGAGCAGATCATCATTGGTGTGACAGACTCTTCGCTCAGAGGAGCATGGAGAAGGGCACCCAGATTAGGAAACAAACACCTGCCTGCTGTTCCTGTGCCAAACTTTCATGCCAGTGGCAGTGGGGTGAATTTGAAACGTGCCTGGAGAGAATACGGAGAAACACAAGAGGGAGGCCAGAGTCCCTTAGTCTGATTTCCATTCATCCATCCACCTTCTCAGCCATTATGCAGGTCAGGCTGGGGGGGCTGGGTCGTCTTTAATAAATGCCTGTGGTTTCAGTAATGTTATTAAATGTCTTCATAATTCAAGCTGACCTTGGCTATTAAAATATTTAAAAGATTTTCCAAAAATGTATAGAAAAAAATACGGTACCGATATTTAAAAACGTGTTTACTGTACAGGCAGAAACATGCTCTCCATCTCTAACACTGGACAAACCAGAAGGTTTGGCTGCTTTGTTGCATTCTTGTGCTCCGGTAGCCTGTAGTCCTCCTCATTATGAGGTTATATAATTGGCAATAAAGGATATCCATTAAGCTATTGAGTACGGCAAATTGTCACCGAAATGTCATAACTGACAGTGATCGGACTCAATTGAAATCAAGCCTGTTTACCTAATTAGCCTAAATCAAAGGAGCAACTTCTAACTGGCTAAATAAGGGGTTTCTGTCAGCCTTGCTAATGATACAGGTGCTTCAAACTTGGGAATGAACCAGATTTATTAGGCTATAAGCGGATTGATGAAAACTCATCAGATCACAGTTTCTTTCCACGGCCAGTGATGCATATCTGCTGCAGTTTGTCTAGACATCAGTTCTCAACCACTGGGACCTGTTTCTAATCAGTGCGTTAAATGTTTCCATACCCAAATCTATTTGAATCTATTTTATTTTAACTGTACTTCCATAATTTTTTTATGTTCTGTCTTGTCTAGTACCGTATGCACCAATACCACCAAGACATATATATGCATATATAGCACTTATTCTATCAATCCTGCAGTATAAATACCAGCCCACGGTTTAGGTATAAATGTTTTCAAAGGTGATCTTCCCCTTTTCTCACAAGCCACAGGTTGTATTTTCATTCAACTCTCTAATTAAGCGGAACCAGAACGGAGGTCCATGTCCTCACGGCCGCTATACTGCCTACTGCATGTTACCCAAGGCACTTTTCTGCAGACCTTTGAAAAAGTTAAATTTAAATGATATTTTGGGTCCAGTTTTTCCCTCCGAAGAGACAAGTAGCCTGCCTTCCCTTCACTGCGTCAGTCCTGCATTGTCGTTATGATGTATGAGGAATGAATACAAACATGTATCACCGTGGGCTTATCTGACTTTCTGTAGAAGTTCTGTTGGTCTCTGCTGGTGCTGTCCATGTTCACTAGTGCTCTCTGTGTCCCCTGGTGCTCTCTGTCTGCTTGTTTTGCTGGAGAGCACTGTCTGTCTCTGTTTCAGCAATGGTACACCAGCACTATGAATCTCCTGGGGACCTGGCTGACCGACCGCATGGACCTCCAGCTCCACGTCTACCAACTGAAAATCCTCATCAGGATCGTGAAGGTAACTGCTGTCTGAAACTGTGCTCACTTCACCTTTTGAGGGTTTACGGATGTCTGCGTCTGCATTTTGAGGAGGGAAATTAACATTTTTGTGGAATATGTCACTTTATTGCATAGCTCATACCTCTATATGACTTCCGTAGCTAGCTACCACATTATATTTTAAATATTTAAATATAAACACAAAGCCTATCAATGAATGGTATGCACTGTGAGCTAACGGCACCAGCGGCTAGCCTGAGACAGACACACGCAGTCCTTCTGGATGAAAGGCATGCACTGTGAGCTAACGGCACCAGCGGCTAGCCTGAGACAGACACACGCAGTCCTTCTGGATGAAAGGCATGCACTGTGAGCTAACGGCACCAGCGGCTAGCCTGAGACAGACACACGCAGTCCTTCTGGATGAAAGGCATGCACTGTGAGCT